AAGATTTCGTTCATTTCAATATTCAGAGCTTGTGGATAATAAATTTATAAAGTATAAAAAGTTTTCTTGATAATTTTTTTTCTCATTTTATATTGCGATAACAATTACTCGTTAAATTGTCATTGAACTCGAAATTTTCTTATTTACCGACAGTGGTGTTTTTACCGACAGAGAATTCTTTTACTCCCGCTGTAATAGAGGTTGGGTATGAAAATCAGCCAAAGCACAAATGTTTAACTTTCTGCTGCGAAATCGCAGCGGGAAATACGTACTTTCGACCGAGGTATGAAGAAAATGTATTTTTTGAGTTTTTGTTGTTGAATGCAAAATATTTCCAAACATCACAATAAGTAGTTAAAATCGTATTATTTGGTTAAATTTTGTCATTATGTTATAGGTGAATATGTGTAGATATGTATATATGTATAAAAGTCCAAGTAATAATAAAATTTGTTTATGTTTTTATTAAATTTTGGCCTTTAAGAATTATGTGGGGTAATGGGAGAATAAGTGTCAGCACAGAGAATTTTTGTTACCATGTTATGGATTTTCTTATTTCTTTGAAAATTGTAAAATGTATCATCATATGAAAGAACTTTTAAGTAAAAAATAATTTTTGGTGGGAAAAATGTATATCTAAAATTTTTTTCAAAAATTTTTTTATTCAATTATAGTTTAGGACACATTTATTGTAAGTATAAAGTTTTGGCTTGACTGTAAGTATTAACACTTTTTTCTATTAGAAAACAAAAAATATTCATGAAAAATAGAAATTAAATAAATTTTTTTAAATTTCAAATGAAAGCTCCCATACCCCACAAATTGGGTGATAGAGAAAAATGTATTTTTTTGAAAATTCACTTTCTTTTTTTAAGTTTCTACACCGAAAAAAAATGTTTGCAATTTCAGACGATTCCTCTTCTTTTGCAGCATTTTTTCCTCTTACGTATATGGGCACTAAATTTTTCCTTTCTAATTAGGAGGATTTTCCTCTTTTATATTATTTTCTATTAAATGTCACTTTTCAAAAAGTTTGAAGCTGTGTTTAGAAAAACAAAAAACAACTTAAAAATCTTCTTTCTAGTATAAATTTGTTTCAATTTGAGAGGAATAATTTCAATCAAAGAAGATAGATTAAAATTTATCTTTTAGTTAAAAAACTTTCAAATATAAACAAAAATTCCTTTCTTTTGTAGATGAATATTCGTATATTGAAAATAAAATGTAAAAATAATTGTTAAGCGGAATTTTCTTCTCACTTTGAGATTTTATTTTTTTCGGTATAATTAAACATAATTAAAGATAAATAACGAAATGAGTAGAAAATGATCAAAACAATATATTATTATGAAGATAAGTTGGTTTTTTTAAATAATTTTCCTTAAGGGGCTCCAATTCTCCACGTTCCCCTACCTACCCTCACAGCACCGGGATATTCAGGATATCCCAGAGACGTCCTGGGGATATCGATTTGTTTTCGGAAGTTTGGATATCCCTGGATTATCCTCTGGATATCCATGGACGTCCCTAGGATATCCCAGAGATATCCAAACTTCCGAAAACAAATCGATATCCCCAGGACGTCTCTGGGATATCCTGAATATCCCGGTGCTGTGAGGGTACTATTATCATTTTTAAAAATTAGTCGGCAACGACTTTGGTATTTATTTTCAGTATAAATGTGATGCACTTCCAGTCTTCCAAGGAAGATACCTAAGATAAGCAAACGAATTGTAGGTTATGTTACCTTGGTACCTTTCTAAAGGCCAAAGCACAATAGATTCGCGAACGAGATGCATGAGATAGGAAATGACACAAAGATATCTCTGTCCAAATATGTCACAAATATGTTCCTTATGATCAGAGAAAAAGTCAAAATTTTATTAAAAAGTTATAAAATTCAGGCAGGGGGATAAAATCAAAAGTTTGTGGCAAGCCTGATAAGTTCAATTAAAGTTTGAATAAAACATTAAACAATATTTCGTAACATTTCGTAATTAACCATCAGACCTAATCAGGAGTTGTTGACCCCTCGATTTTTAATCACACATTATAGACATTTGTTCATTCTTTGAATCAGTTACAATTTCCTGTAATATTAAAAAAATAATATTTAAACTAACATAATTTTAATTTACAGGAAAGTTATAATTTTGTTACAGCAATCAAAAGTTTCTATTTACGCGCGCGCTTACACAATTCTTTTTTTTGTAATTATTCATATAATTAAGAGAATGAATATAAATAATACAGGATGAAAAATTTTTACCTACCATTAGCAGTTTGCAAATTATTTGTTTTTCTCAGAGGAATTGTTTTATTTCTGAATTGCAGTGAGTTTTAATTACAATTTTTTTTTAAACAACAACGGAAGTATGTTGTATAGGTGTGCTTCCTTTTTTGTCGAGAAGAGTGAATCGAAGCGGAATAAAATTTTTTTTATTATTATTATTATTTGGTTTGTTTGTTTCTTCTTTTTTTCCTAAGAATGTTTCTTTATATTATTTTTGTAAAAGGTTTGCATCCGTTAATACAATTGTAGATGAAACAGATGTTTTTTTATATACACCCGGGAGAGTTTTGCTTTTGATACACAAACATCCCTCTTTCACTGGCGCACACACAGCTTTGTAGCCGTGACCAATTAAAACCTTTCATCGTCTCTGGAATTAATATTGGAAACAAAAACTTCAATTTCAAGCGCGTCACGTTTAGTCCGCTGGTGTTAATTGACCAGTAGCCCATTACACGCCTGATCGCTATTCACAATCGCGTTTTCTAGAAATTGTTTTTGTCCTGAAATTCATCATTTTGCATTTTTCAAGATTTCTTTTGTTTATTATAATATATACACTTTATTGTGGTTTCATTCTTTCTTTATAATTCGTTTTTTATTGGAAAAATTACTTTATTATTCGTTCGCTCTTGAGGTGGTTATTGTTCCTTCCTTTTAATTATTACTTATACCGTTGTAATTCCTTTTTTTGTCTACCGCTGTATTTTATAAACACCGAAAAAATTATCTAAATTTAAAAATATATTTTTCGCTCTTAATTAAGAATGAAACTGCTTTGTATTTTTAAAAAAATATAATAATAAGGAAATAATATTAGAAAATATAAAAAACTGTTACCAACTCCAATTGGAGTATTGGTAACAGTTTAACAATTTAATATCTCAATTTAAGAATCTTAAAACAACTGTACAAGTTATAGTGGACTATTATTGAAAATTGGTAGAAATTTTGACTAATTTTGAATTAGTGGAAATTTTTACTAATATTCCTTTCGTAAAAACGAGGTGCGTAAGATCGACTAACTTCAAGTGTAGAACTTTTTCTTGATTGGCTCTTTTTCAAAATCCTTACTTTGATTGGATATAATCGTGACATTACTTACTGATGTCAAAGCAGCTAACTTCAAGTGTAAAACTTTTTCCTCATTGGCTGATTTTATAATGAGTGTTCCTCATTGGCTGAATTTTATAATGATGGTGACCTCACACTTTTATATTTTCGTTTTTCTTTTTCACAATTAAAAAAATAATTAATTAGAATTATTAACTAAAAGTTAACTAAAAGTAGTTTAATATTATAATTTTTATTTATGGTTTGGTTTCCTCATTTCCTGATTTTATTATTAGTGTTCCTCATTGGCTGAATTTTATAATGATGGTGACCTCACACTTTTATATTTTCGTTTTTCTTTTTTCTTTTTTAAAATTAAAAAAATAATTAATTAAAATTATTAACTAAAAGTTAACTAAAAGTAGTTTAATATAATAATTTTTATTTATGGTTTGGTTTCCTCATTGGCTGATTTTATAATGAGTGTTCCTCATTGGCTGAATTTTATAATGATGGTGTTACGGTGTAACAATATAAAATGTATTAGTTAGTAACACACAAAATTATTAAAACTTTCATCTACCTTTTTTTACAACATCTCTTAAGGGATTAAAGATAGAATAGAGAGTAGCATGTGTTTGCAAAGGAAAAACCCAAATTTGTATTTTTACTACCAGATTAACGTGTAAAAAACAGTTTTGTACTTATCAAGATTCTATCCTCAACATAGCTTATATCTTTATTTGGGTCTTAAAATAACACTAATAAAAATGCACAAATATAGCATTCAGAGCAATTCACTTAAAATTGTATTGAAAATATACTTAGGGTCTATTTCATTGTACTCGTAGATGGTCAGTTGAACCATCCTTCAACTAATAGAGAAGGGGAAGTCTTTACCCCACCACTTTGAAAATACAGGTAATGAGGAAAGAGATAGGAACCCTTAAGAGATTTTTCATTCACTAATTTTCTCTCGAACGAAACACAAATTTTTCCAAGCAGTATCTTTTAAGTTAGACGAAATTCTATTAGGAGTATTTGCAAATAAATTAATTCAATTTATTAAAACAAGAATAACTTCTAATTTTTTATACCAGCACAATACACAACATAATTTGGTCCTTCGAGCCGGATATTCATTCCGGGAACTTTGTGCAAGTGTGTTTGAAATCCCAAGTGTACAGACATAAGTGACGTTTAGTGCAATCTTCAGTTCAATTTAACCACAGTGCAAATTCCAATGATACTGAAAGATGCTAAACAGTAAGACCTTTGAAAAACTTACATTACGGGAAAAACTATCTTGAAAATCAAGTGATTGTGACTGTAAAAACAAAAAGACTCTAATACGTCTACACTGCGAATACCATTAAACATAGTGAAAATTATCGAACTTATTCATGTTCAGTGATTGTTAGTCGAGAAATATAAAATTCAAATAAACATTAATGTGATTAACAACTTTGTTAATTTAAACCGTGTGAGTGGACAACTGATAACTACATCCCAATTTCAACACAACTTCTGGAGAACCATTTTGAAAAGCAGAAGATTCAAAGTAAGTCAAAAGAACTTATCTCTTTCCATTTATCCTTCAATCTTTTAAATATTTCCGTTATTATTGTGTTGAATATTCTTATGAAAATTTAATATGGCTGATGAACAACTTAAATTACTTAAAAAACAACGCGGAAATATTAAACGTTTGTTAACATGTTCGGAAACTGTATTAACTTCGATAAATGAAACCTTAGATTTAGATTCACTTCATTTAGAAGAACGTTTAAAGAAACATACTCCTCTTTGGGAATCATTTGATAAAATTCAATCCGAGATTGAAACTATTTTAGATGATGAGACAGAAACTGTTGGTCACGAAACAGAACGCACGTCATTTGAAAACAGATATTATGAAATAAGCGGTTCATTCAATAAATTTATTAAAAAACAAAAGACCGCCATAATAAATAATCCCTCTCAAATTCTTAATGTAGTCGACGAGACAAATTCAGAATCTAATCAAGAACAGAATAGTAGTACAACAGTACCAATTCAATCAGCATCCACATCGGTAACTAATGAATTTCAAACAAGGTTTCCATCACGCTTTGAGCTTCCTAAACTTCAAACTCCAACTTTTCAGGGTGGTTATGACACATGGTTAACATTTCATGATTCATTTAAATCAATGTGTCATGACAACCCTACACTTTCATCGATTCAAAAATTTCATTACCTGAAAGCATGTTTAAAAGATGAAGCAGCGGAACTCATTGCGTCCATTGAAACCACTAGTCAAAATTATTTTGTCGCTTGGGAATTATTAAAAAATAGATATGACAACAGAAAATACATTGTAGAGAGTCACATAAAAGCCTTGTTTGATATTCAGAATGTTTCTAAAGAAATGTCAATCCGTGCACTCTTAGATAACGTTCAAAAAAGAGTTCGAGCTTTAAGAGCTTTAGAGCAGCCTGTGGATCAGTGGGATTCTCTGTTGATTCACATAGTAAAAGAAAAATTATATAATTATACGCGCGAAAAATGGGAAGAGTCCGTTGGCAGTACTAAACTTCCGACATTTCCAGAGATGATATCTTTTTTAGAAAGAAGGTCTTTGATCGAAAATTCTCAATCAGTTCAAAAATCAATTCAAAATCCTAAGGTTAATAATACTAAAAACAATTCCAATCGATCAAATGTTCGCGGTACAACAACTTCTTGCATGTCTGTTACGGTTAATTCTAACGCGACGAAAACACAATCACAAGCTCAATCATGCCCTCTTTGCTCAAAAAATCATATGCTTTGGCAATGCGATCAATTTTTAAATATGTCTCCTTCACAACGCTATGAGAAGGTAAAAACATTATCAATTTGCCATAACTGCTTTTTTAGCAACCATCGCCTTTTAGAGTGCCGTCGATCTTTTTGTCGTAAATGTCATAAGCGACACAATACCCTTCTGCATTTTGATACAAACAAATCAGAACAAGAGCAGGAAGTAATGCCTGAAATTATTACAACTGCTGCTACTACATATCAACCTTCCATTCATTCACAAGTTGTGTTAGGTACAGCAATTGTTAAAATTTTGGACGCTTCCGGAAATTATAAAACATGTCGAGCATTTTTAGACTCAGGTTCCCAATGTTGTTCAATTTCAGAACGCTTTGCTGAATCCCTCAATCTCAAAAGGTCAAATGTTAATGTCAGATTAAAAGGTGTTGAAAATATTCAATCAAACAGCAAATATATGACGTCAACAAAAATTCAATCCTTATATGATAATGATGTCAATCTTGATGTATCATTTCTTATATTTCAAAAAATTTCTTTGCCAATGCCAGCCATGCCAATTGACAGAAATTCTTTAAATATCCCAACACAAATCTTTTTAGCAGATCCTCAATTTCATCAACCATCTGAAATTGACATTTTGATTGGTGCTGAATATTTTTACAACCTCATGAGAGCGGGAAAAATTAATGTTAGCGGTCAAAGGGCAATTCTCCAAGAAACCGATTTGGGTTGGGTATTTTCAGGGTTATACAACAAACCAAATCAAGGTCATTTAAAGTCAGGTCATTTTTCGACAAATGAAATTCAATGTAATTTAATTAAATTTCAAGAATTACCTATTTTATGGGAATTAGGAAATGAAGACACATCTCAAAAGTTGTCAAAAGAAGAAACGGTAGTTGAAAATCATTATATTGAAACAACGACGCGAACTGAAGCAGGTAATTATCAGGTAACTTTACCTTTTAACGAAAAAAGGGAATTGTTAGGAGATTCGCGTAATACCGCCTTTCAACGATTTTATGCTCTTGAAAGAAAATTCTCTAAAAATCCAGAGTTTCATTCTGAATATTCTCAATGCATAGGTGTTTATTTAGAAAAGGGTCACATGACATTAATTGATAATAATGATAACTTAAAGTCGGGATATTTTTTACCCCACCATGCAGTGATAAAAGAAGATAGCTGCACCTCCAGAACTAGAGTTGTTTTCGACGGATCTTCTAAAACTTCAAGCAGAATTTCATTAAACGATGCTCTTAGAGTTGGTCCCAGTATTCAGAAAAATCTTTATTCAATTATCGCTCGTTTCAGGTCATATCCTTATGCTCTTACAGCTGATATCCAACAAATGTATCGTCAAGTCTTGGTATCAGAACAAGATGAACAGTATCAAAAAATTCTGTGGCGATCAAATCCAGAAGAACCAATCAAAATTTATTCGCTAAATAGAGTCACATTCGGCACAGCCAGTGCCCCTTATCTCGCAATTCGCACTCTTCACCAGCTCGCGAACGATTAACAAGAAACCTTTCCAATCGCTTCCGAGATACTAAAGAGTGATTTTTATGTCGATGATTTGTTAACAAGCGCAAAAACTTTCGAAGAAGCTCTTGAACGTAGGGATGAATTAATTTCTCTTTTATCAAAGGGTGGTTTCACATTAAGAAAATGGGTTTCATATGACCCTAATCTATGTGTCAATTTTGCAACCGATGTTACGGATGAGCATATGTCTTTAGATCCATCAAGTATCATTAAAACACTAGGATTGCGTTGGGACCCAACCACTGATGAATTTTTATATGTTGTAAATTTAGACAATTTCAATGAAATACCAACAAAAAGGTCAGTGCTTTCGAAATGCGCAAAATTGTATGATCCGTTAGGACTGTTAGGACCGGTAATTGTTATCGGAAAATTGTTCATTCAAGAACTTTGGAAACTTAATTTAGATTGGGACACAGTTCTTCCTGTCGATTTACAAAAATCATGGTTAGAATATTTAAAACAATTACCTTCTTTAAATGACTTGCGTTTTAACCGATGCATTACTGTAGAAGGCTTCACAGAAGTTCAGGTACATGGGTTTTGTGACGCCAGTGAAAAGGCATATGGCGCGTGCTTATACCTGCGGTCAACTGACCGTAAGGGTGAAATTCATGTCTCTTTAGTGTGTTCAAAATCTCGAGTCGCTCCAATAAAATCAACATCGCTTCCTAGATTGGAGTTATGCTCAGCTCATCTGTTAGCAGAATTATGTGAAAACACAATACATTGCTTAAAAATTCCAATTTCAAAAATGTATTTATGGTCCGATTCAATGATTGCATTAAGTTGGATTAATACTCCCTCTCATTTATTAGAAACTTTTCTCGCAAATAGAGTTGCTAAAATACAACATTTAACAAAAATCGAAAATTGGAAACATGTGCCCACAGAAAGTAATCCTGCTGATATTCTTTCACGGGGTGTAAGTCCTTCCGAATTCGTTCACAATTCAATGTGGAGTCACGGACCTTCATGGTTAAATTTAAATGAAAATGAATGGCCTGAAAAGGCTATTCCACTCAATGAGACCTCTGGTCTTCGCAAGCCAAAACCTATATTTTCATTTAAATTAACACAGGACGAAATAAACATATTGACAAAATACAATAGTTGGCAAAAAACAATAAGGATTGTAGCTTATTGTTTACGGTTCGTATCAAATAGCAAAATCAAAGATGTAGGTTTGCGACGGAAAACAAATCTGTCTCTAGCAGAACTGAATGCAGCTAAAGATAAGATTATTAGATTAATTCAAAAAGAAGTATTTTCAAATGAAATACACGCTCTTGAGAATAATCAGTCTATTTCTAAAAACAGTAGTCTCATCTCATTAAACCCATTTCTCGATCAAGGTATCATTAAGGTAGGCGGACGTTTGGTTCTGGCTGACATTCCTGAGAATCAAAAACACCCGATTGTATTACCGAAAAATCATCACGTAACAAAATTAATAATTAAAAATGAACATCTCAATCGTTTGCACGCAGGTGTAAATGCAACGTTATGCGGTGTTAGAGAATCTTACTGGCCCATAGATGGTCGTAACACTACACGACATATTGTACGACAATGTACAACATGTTTTCGCGCAAAGCCTCGCGATATTCAATATTTAATGGGAAATTTACCAAAAAATCGATTAACATTCTCTTGTCCATTTTTAAATGTAGGTGTTGATTTTTGCGGACCGTTTTACATAAAAGAACACAGACATAGAAATCGAACAAAACTAAAAACTTACGTGGCGGTGTTCGTTTGTTTCGCGACCAAAGCTGTTCATCTCGAATTAGCGAGTGATCTTTCAACAGAAGCATTTCTTGCATGCTTAAAAAGATTTTTTGCACGAAAAGGACTCTCTCAATCTATTCATTCCGACAATGCGACAAATTTTGTTGGAACGAATAATGAAATTAAAGAGCTTTTTAAAACAATACATGAAACAATAACTGACGAAAAAATCGGGAATTATTTATCGAATAAAACAGTTTCTTGGCATTTTATTCCTCCTCGAGCTCCCCACTTTGGAGGACTCTGGGAGGCAGCGGTAAAATCATTCAAATTTCATTTTGTCAGAATTGCGGGAAATTCTCTATTAACATATGAACAACTAAACACATATGTAACGGAAATTGAGTCCATCCTAAATTCCCGACCATTAACACCATTGTCACCTGATCCTAATGATCTCAATCCTTTAACACCTGGTCACTTCCTCATTGGTGGTTCTTTGACAAGCTTACCAGAGGAAGATTTTCGCAACACATCCGACAATCGATTGAGCTGTTGGCAACTTGCTCAAAAAATGGGTCATCATTTTTGGGATCGATGGTACAAGGAGTACCTTAATGAATTGATGTCTAGGAGTAAATGGCAAGCAGCTCCAGACCAAACAACCATCAAACCCGGCACACTCATATTGGTTAAAGAAAATAATCAACCACCGATGAAGTGGCCTCTTGGTCGCATTTCGGAAATTCATCCAGGATCTGATGGCATAGTGCGTACCGTGACGATAAAAACCGGGGAAGGCATTTACAAACGAGCCTTAAAAAATGTGTGTCTTCTTCCAATGGACAAAAATGATATGAACATTAATCAGTAGTGTAAATTATTATATTCAATTTGTTTTCTCTTTTGAACATTATCCGTTCAAGGGGGCCGGCATGTTACGGTGTAACAATATAAAATGTATTAGTTAGTAACACACAAAATTATTAAAACTTTCATCTACCTTTTTTTACAACATCTCTTAAGGGATTAAAGATAGAATAGAGAGTAGCATGTGTTTGCAAAGGAAAAACCCAAATTTGTATTTTTACTACCAGATTAACGTGTAAAAAACAGTTTTGTACTTATCAAGATTCTATCCTCAACATAGTTTATATCTTTATTTGGGTCTTAAAATAACACTAATAAAAATGCACAAATATAGCATTCAGAGCAATTCACTTAAAATTGTATTGAAAATATACTTAGGGTCTACTTCATTGTACTCGTAGATGGTCAGTTGAACCATCCTTCAACTAATAGAGAAGGGGAAGTCTTTACCCCACCACTTTGAAAATACAGGTAATGAGGAAAGAGATAGGAACCCTTAAGAGATTTTTCATTCACTAATTTTCTCTCGAACGAAACACAAATTTTTCCAAGCAGTATCTTTTAAGTTAGACGAAATTGTATTAGGAGTATTTGCAAATAAATTAATTCAATTTATTTAAACAAGAATAACTTCTAATTTTTTATACCAGCACAATACACAACAGATGGTGACCGCACACTTTTATATTTTCGTTTTTCTTTTTTAAAATTAAAAAAATAATTAATTAAAATTATTAACTAAAATTACATAATTATATTATAGTGGTAATAATTGTGATTTAATATTGATTTATATTTGTTTTCTTAATCTTAATTATTGATTTTTCAACATTTTGGTAGTTAGTTATTATTATTTAGAAAAAACTTTATAAATATTAAAGATAAGTACTAAAAATAACATGTGATTACGAGATACCAGATACTTTATAAACAGAGATTTAGTCAAGAGGTACTAGATTAACAGATACTAGATTAACAGATACTAAACAGGTACAAAACAGAAAAGCTTACAAAAAATACGCATATATTTATTGTTGATAAAATATATAAAAATTAAAGATAAGTACTATTGATAACATGTGATTACGAGATACCAGATACTTAGTAAACAGAGATTTAGCCAAGAGCTATTATAGATTAACAGATACTAGAATAAAAGATAAAGAAATAAGAAATATAAACAGATACAAAACAGAAAAACTTACCAAAAATATACTTATATTTATTGTTGAGAAAGTATAAATAAATACGTAACAAATTTATATGAAAAGATGAATAGATACCTTCTTTACATTCTTGAGATAAGACGAAATTAGATTAATAGATAAAGATACATTCTTTACATTCTTAATAATCTTCAATAAGAAAGGAAAAGATGAAAATTCCAGTTACTGTTAAATGTGACAATAGTAAAATTATTTACATGTGTTCTGAATTAATTAATTTTATGAAAAACTATTTTTTAGAAGCCATATCTTTTCAATAAATTGAAAGAAATCATGTCGAACAAAGAAGAAACTGTTAATTTAAGTGTTACAGATTTTAATATTATACTTACTGAAGGAGGAATGTTAAATGATACTCATATTGATGAATTCGAAAAATTATTGAGAAGAGAATCAAATTCTGCTTTTAGCATGGAAAGCACTTTGTATTTATATACGCTTGAATTTATTATTCCGATTGAAAAATGTAAAAAGCATATTCAAATACTTTTTAGTGGACTTATCAAGAAAGGTCATTGGATTTGCACTTATTATGATGGAATGAGACTTTATATTTATAATAGTCTCAATGAAGGATGTTTAAATCAAGATCAAAGGAAATATTTAAGTAGATTATATCCTTTTAAACCTCCAGTAGTTTTCACAACTGTTGATCAACAACCAAACAATAGTCTTGCTTGTGGAATATATGCAATAGAATTCGCAACATCGATATTTTTTAATATTATGCCCCACTCTGTCAATTACTATTATTATAACATGAGAAATCATTTAATGTTAATGTTCAAAAACAATCGTTTAAGTAAATTTCCGTCAGTAAGGTCGACTTATATTAGAACTATGACTGTTGAATATAATTGGGAGTGTCATCTTAGGAATCGAGCTAGAGAAAAAAGTTTCCAAAATGAAGAAAATAAAATTGTTGACAATAATTTATCATCGTTGAATTCAACCAGCAATGTTTGTAAAAAAATGTTGTTGATAGTTGTTTAGAAAATTTGCCTTTCATTCCAGCAAATGATGTTAATAATATTTCTATTGATTCAAGCAATGGAATGAAAGATACAAGATTAATAATAACTGAGAAGCAACGAGAAAAAAGAGCTATGGTTCATTTTTCTGAAGAAGAAGAAAAATATAAAATCATAAAACGTCAAAAAAAGCTCCTTATAAAAAAAACATCGCCAAAAAAGCGAGAAAATAATAAAATTGTTCGCTCTGAATCATTGGATTCTTATGAATTCATTAGTGCAGAGCAAACTTTAAATACGAGGTCCCAAAGCACATCCACAGCTTTATCATCAGCAGAAGAAAATATTTCTACTTCTAAAGTTAAAACGTCAATTCGTGACAGAAATGTTGCTTACAAGCGCACCTCTCGACAAAATAAACATACTTCTGTTCAAAAACAAAATTAGTCTGATATTATTTCAAAGTCACATATAGAGACAGGTTATTGTAATGAAATGAACATTACACGTGATCATTCTTATGTAAAACTTTGTGAACATAAAGTTAACAGTGAATTATTTATAAAATCAAAAACTAATAGAAATGAGGGAGAAATTATTATAAACAGAAGTTTGCAAAGTATGTCTTCAACATCAGCGCAGAATAATAATAGTACATCAGGAGAAGTAATACACAAAGGAAATTATAAAGACAAAGATAATGTAATTATTAAAAATGCAACAATTAATTAAAAAATCAACAGTTCAGAGGAAACTTTTAATAATAGACAATTACAATGCATGACTTCGAGATCATTAGATAATTGTATTGATTCAAGAAATGTTACAAAATATACTAATTTAAAAAATGAAAATCAAGTAAAAAAAAGAATAATAAAACGTTCTTTAGAGGAAGAAGAACAACATCAAGTCATGAAACGTCAAAAGAAATTTGCTTTTTAAAGAAAGTTTCGACAAAAAAACAAGATAATAATAGAATTCTTAATCTTAAATCAATCCATACAAAGGATAGTATTATTACAGTGGCTAAACCAAATATAAATTCAGCAAAATCCTCTACAACTGTTAATACATCTTTAGCAAAAGAGAATGTAACTGTTACAGAAAATTTATCAAATACTAATATTTCTTTCATCGCCAAAAAAACGGAACTCTGCACAGAATCAAAATTTCTCTGACAGTATTTCAGTCTCGCATATAGAAGAACATTTTGCTGGTGCGATGAACATTTCATGTGAGCATTGTAATGCTAAACATTTCCAAGCAAAAAGAGTATCTAATAAAAAAATTCATTTCATGATTGTTGTAAACATGGCGAAGTCATTTTTAAAGATCTACCTGCTCCTCCACTCATATTACAAAATTTATTTGATGTCACCCACGAATTATCTAGGCATTTTCTTCATAATATATACGACATTACAATAATTCATTTGGTTTTGCTTCTTTCAACGCTAACTTAGTTAATTTAAACAATAGACAAGCAGGACCATATTGTTTAAAAATACATGGTCAGGTTTATTATCAAATGAATACATATTTGTATGCAGAAAGAAACGAGACGCATGCTTATTCCCGAAATCTTTTTTGACCAAATAGTTATTTGATATAAAACTACTTAACTTAAAATTCACATAATATGCACATTATTTGACATAAATTTCATTGCACACAAAAGCCATTTAACATAAATATAATTTTAGTATTGTTGAATTTATCACTTGGTAAAATTATATTAGTATAAATAAGAAGTTATCAATCCTCCAAGTCAATCAATAAAAAAGAAAAAAAGAAAAAAATCTTTTCTTTAACGTTTCGATAGCACAGCTATCCTCTTCAGAAACTGCAAAGTTTATTTCATATTACAAACAAAATACAAAAATAAAGGTCACAAAAATATTAACACTATTAACACAATTAAAAAAAAATATATATATAAAATAATTTTTTAGAATTACCGTAAGAAAAATTATTAAAATTATTTACAAAGACATGGTACGAGCGTTTTCATTCATCGAACTCAACTGACAAACTAAAAGGTAATTAGAAAAAAAACAAAAAAAACAAAAAAGATGATATAAAATTTTTAAATAAACAATATTTGAATTTCTTTTCTAATAAATTTTGAATTATTTCTTAAATTATTTTCTGAATAAAAACAAATATCTCTGATATCGGTCTTTACCATTTATCTATATATCTATATATACTTTGATTGTAAATATTTGTATACATCTGCAATGAGTTCATTGACTTCAAATCTACAAACGATTTAATTTGTTCAATTTCTAATTACCTTTTAGTTTGTCAGTTGAGTTCGATGAATGAAAACGCTCGTACCATGTCTTTGTAAATAATTTTAATAATTTTTCTTACGGTAATTCTAAAAAATTATTTTATATATATTTTTTTTTTTAATTGTGTTAATAGTGTTAATATTTTTGTGACCTTTATTTTTGTATTTTGTTTGTAATATGAAATAAACTTTGCAGTTTCTGAAGAGGATAGCTGTGCTATCGAAACGTTAAAGAAAAGATTTTTTTCTTTTTTTCTTTTTTATTGATTGACTTGGAGGATTGATAACTTCTTATTTATACTAATAAATATAATTTGTCATAGAATTCATTAAACAGAAATATTATGTTACATAAAACTCAGATAACTTAATTCCCATTTGACATAAAAATTATGTAACATAAATTTCTATTGACATAAAAATCTTTTAACATAAATTTCTTTCAACATAAAACTCATTTAACGTAAATTTTATTTGTTATAAAATTTATTTGACATAAATATCATTAGAC